GAAAGTGCAGTCAGACTATTGCTTGGAGGCAAGGATCTTCACCTCTTATACTTGGGGCAAGTTGCTAGGAGAGGCTATTCTTTAAAGAGGAACATCATGCTGGATTAGGTAGAGGGTCCGTAAAAAAGAGGAAGGCCCTCAACCAGGTTGATTGATGCAGTGGCTGCCACAGTAGGCTTGAGTGTATTAGGATGGTACAGGCTAGTACAGGGTTCAGGGTAGAGGATAGTGCAGGGTTGTTTATAGAGTTGCTATGGATCGTACTCAACTCAATAGCACCACCCAACAACAATATATACACACAGATATATGTCTGCACCTTTGTATAGGAGCTGGCATTTTTTAGATAGAATCAGTCACCCCAAAGAATTTGTTAGCATAACATAGTACATAAGGTTTATGCTCTACATCCTAGTTGAAGTCATTATAAAAAGTACTAATAATTTAATATTGGCAGCCATCTGCCAACAAATTTTAGAATAATTCAAATTAGTAGTTCTTACACCTTAATGCACATTAGAACCTGAGAAACATTAAATAAACTTCACCAGACCCTGCCTCCAGAAATTTTAAATGTAATTAGAATCAGGCATTGGTGTTTTAAAAGCTCCCTAGGGGAGTCTAATATGCAACCAGGATTGAGAATTAGCCTATTATTGTGCTACTCCATCTAAATAGAAGTAAACCTTTTCACAATTTCAAAAGGAGATAATTGTGGTACAAAATTTTGGCTCATTTGTAGTTGTATTTTATAGCTGTAACCAGTCTACTATAAAGTTGGAACTAATTTCTTTTTCTTCTTTTTCTATCAGGGTCTCTATGGCAGTGTGATAGTGGCAGGAGGAAACACACTAATACAGAGCTTTACTGATAGATTGAATAGAGAGCTGTCTCAAAAAACTCCTCCTGTAAGTTGGGGTTTGGTTTTTTTGTTTGTTATTTAGTCTTTTTAATATACATCCTCACTGAAGGTGTATTTTATCAAATTGTCATTTTTTAATAGATTGACTTTATATGTGCTTGGTATTGCTTAAAATTTATATTCTCTATTTTTTAAACTTTCCTAGATGATATCCATTATCCTTGCACTGTTCAAAATCTCATTTCATCCAGTGATACTAAATAGTCCTGTCCACCAGGGCTCAAACTAATAGAATGTTTAGATGTGAGAACAGATGACAGCAATGAGCTGCATGCTTCAAAAGACATGCACAGGATGCTCTTGGGGCATTGACAAGTTGATACATAACTCCTTGGAATATCAAGAAAGCTCTCATGGAAAAACAGAGAAAGAAGAAGAGTGCAACTGCTTGCTAATTTAGCAAAGGGCCTAGGCAGAGGAAAGACATATAGTATCTGTGCCAGTAATTCAGAGTAGCTGGATTACAGTTTTTGCTGGAGAAATGGAGAAAGCAATAGAGAAATACATGGAAACTAGGTCATGTCTTATGAACCAAAGACAGTAGTAAGTTTTCAGGGTGAAATCTGGCAGAGGATTGATGAGCTTTTGAATTTGTTTTAAAAAAGTCACTGACTACATCACTTTAACTTGTCATCAAAAAGGGGGGAAAAACACTAGATAGATACAAGAGAGAAGAAAATGTATATAGTAAACCAGTAACTGAGTAGCAGTAACAAACATTACATTTTGAAATTTGTCAACAAGTAGTTTACAAACAAGTAGTTTTAAGGTGTTTTGCACTAAATATCAAGTTTTTAAAAAATCCTTAAGGATTTAGTAGGATCTAAAAGCATCTACAGGTTCAAATCTCCCATTTACTTCAGAGAAAAGGATGGGCCACTTTCTCATGATTTACAAACCTATGGGAGGGTCAGCTATGGGATGGTGTTGAAAACCTGCTGGAGGGTCAGCTGTGGGTAATTCCAGCCCAACTAGTACAAACAGCAACAAAATAGCTACAGAATTTGTGTATTTATTCTTTTTGGTTCTTATGGAGAGATATGTTTTACCTACACCACATTTTGTAGCTAACTTTTATGAAAACTCTTATTTAAATATGGATATGGGCATTAGTTCAATAACATCATTATATTTACTACATTTTTTGAAACATAGTATGATGGAGAACATACCTGAATTATATACAGTACTCATGTTACACTTCTCAGAGACTGAATAATACAGACATAGGCTGCCCAGGGTGCAAGACCATTTAGATGCTATCCTTTGTCCTTTAGGAGGCAATTGAAAAACAACAGGTAAAAAACATTCCATTTTAATAATTACCTCAAAGTTTTTCACCTATAAAAACCCATATTCATGCCTTATGCCCCCAAAACTCACTCCCACCTTTTTAGGCTATATTCTAGCCCCCTCTTTATTGTTGAGTCTCATTCCATTGAGAAGAAGACTCAAACTATGTGTTTATCTATAGAAACTGGAAAGTGTTAATAACATCAACTATCCTGACAAAAAGATTCCTTGATACCAAAATTCTTGGCTTAGAAAATGAGATTCTTTTTAAGACATTTAAGATTGGGGTTAGCATTGCGACAGTAAGCATGCTCACCTAGACTGAGTTTAAAAGAGACCTTAATTTGCAGAGATGACTTAAGACTGATCTGATGACTGGACTGAGTTTTAATTTGGAAAAGACGAAGAAGTGGTAAGGAGGGAGGGAAGATCGTTCCAGAGGAGGGATTACGACAGAAGACCTAGAGAGGTGCTTGAGAGGCTGGGGAGGACTACAGAAAGGGTTGCAGGCTGAGGTAATTAGACTTTAAAGGGTTAAGATGAACTAATGTATAAAATTACTTAGCATAGTACCTGACGTAGAGTAGGGAGCTCTGGTGGGCTAGTGGAAAGAAGCTGCATTGCAATCCCAAAAGCATGCAATTTGAAGCCACCAACGTTGTGCAGAAGGATGTGCAGTCTCCTCCCTTGCAGTTAACTGCCTCTGAAAACCCACCAGAGGGTCAGCTGTGGGTCGGTTCAACTGTGGTACAGGACGACGACGACCCTTTTCCTCCCTTCTCTATTTTAGAGCATGAGGTTGAAACTGATTGCAAATAATACAACAGTTGAGCGGAGGTTTAGTTCCTGGATTGGTGGTTCCATTCTAGCATCTTTGGTAAGTAAATGAACTACAGTCTGACTGAGTGGGTTAGTTTACTTAAATGTACCCCTAAAATACCAAGTGTAGTAAAAATACTAATTCTTATTATACCATTTCTTTGCATTTTTTTAAACTATCAAATGAGTGGAGGGATTAGTAGGATCACCAGTTTCATATTTTCTAATGTGAAAGGTGGCACTTCTGGCTGTTGGAATGTACAAGATCATCCAAGTGAGAAAGATGGGCAGTCTCCTGCCATGTGATTTACCACCTCCAAAACCCCACTGGGCGGATTCAGCGGCAGTGAGAGTGAGTGAGAGAGAGGGATTGCCAGTTGGCTGGATAGTAAGGTGGAGAGGAAGTCAGGAATTGGTAGTGAGGGGCAATAGTGAAGTCCTGGTGATGAGTCTTAAAAACTGCAGGGACTTGGGTCAGGAGAAAGTCTGTGTAATGCTTACAGAAATCTGTTTCCTCTCCCTTGTCACAGCAGCCAAAGTAAATGCCATCAACTACTTTTCTTAGTAATTAAGAGATCAAAACTGCATGTACTTGAATAAAAAAAATCACAAAGGATGGCATTTCCCCCTTCACATTCTTTAATCATTTTCCTCCCCTCTGGACGTGGCATACTGTCTCTGCACTGTTGTACCTGCAGAACCTCATCATAGTTCTCTGATGAACATGTTAGAGCTACGTTACCATCAACCCAATGCTAAGATCATCTTTTCTAATTTATACTCTTAGTAAGCAGTCCAGTAGTTTCTATCACTGGCCTTAGTCTGGCTCCAAACCTGCATACATAGGCCCTTAGTGTTCCTTGCCAGCCATTTTCAGATCCTCACAATGCTGCATGCTTGTGAGAGCACTGGATAAGTGCACAACCAGCAGGGGAGCCATGGAGTGTTATCTTAGGGCGGCCAGAGTTTAAGAGATCTTTAAAGGTTTTCCTTCAAAGTTGTGAAAATAAAGATAAAAAATGAGTCAGTTCAGACTCAATGGTAGATAAATACAAGAAGGCATAATGAAAACATCATTTTCCATTTTTACAGGGAACCTTTCAACAAATGTGGATTTCCAAACAAGAATATGAAGAGGGAGGGAAGCAGTGCGTAGAAAGGAAATGCCCCTGAAGATTTTCCATCATGGATGTTCGTGTGTCATACGTTTCATAGCTTTAGTAAACTCAGGAAAAGATTGACCATCTTTTGTAGAAAGTTTATACATTTTTGCATATTTCAATTTCCACCTAAATTTTTTAAGGCTTTAACTTGCTCTATGAATTAAAATGAGTTTGTGCTTTCCTTGAGATGCACTTATTCTTATTACAAGCATTTTATAATTTTGTATAAATAATCTATTTTCTCTAAATATTTTGCTTTCAGTACAATGCTTTCCAACCCTGTTTAGTAATTCTATGTGGATTGGTAGAATTGCTTTTTATTGACTAGTAAAACTTAACTCCCTACGCTTTTTACCTCAGGCTTGCAAAAGTAAATAAATTTAACTAGCCATTCCAGAAAGGTGCCTATATTGTTGTGTTAATGACATATTTTCAAGTATTAAATGTGTTTACATTATAAGTGAAAGAATTCACTGCTTATGACAGTATTCACATCTCTGTAACTTAAGTATCATTAAAAAAAAATCACTTTCTTGCCTTTGTTACAGCAGATGACATCACTTTCATACTTTGAGTCTACATAAAAATCCTAATGTCAGAATTTATAAAAAGAATTTAATCAGTATTGTACCTAGTCTTTAAAAAAATGATAGTTGCATAATCATTTCCAGAATTGGCATGCCATATTAACACTTAAAAAAAAATTATTAAATAAACCTTTATTGAAAAAAATTTCCTTATACACCACTTAACATATTTACTTTTTATTTTGTTTGTAGACTAGTCCATGAAAAATAAAAATGTTAAGAGTTCAGACATCTTAAGCAACACTTGATTTTTGGGCTGCAGGAGGTGGAAACTTTTCCTTAAGAAATTTTTCTTTCTTTCTCATTAAATTTTTCTTCCTTGCTGCAGCACGGGCTTCTTTCTCAATTCTCAGTCTAAAATAAAAAACAAAGTATAAAAGCAATTTATCTAGAACTGTTTTATGTTAGTTAATACTATTAAAATATTCCCAAATAAATTCCTTAAAAGCCTTAATCATGTTAATCACTCTATTTGGTGTGTCATATGTTTATTATTAAGTTTGAATTACCATCATGGTAACCTAAACAAGAGGAAATCCTGAAATCAAAAGCAGCTATTACCCTACACTATCCCTCTTACTACCAAGAATGTGCTTATCTTAGAAGCGTATACCAAAGTGGGCCTGAAGTGCTATCCAGATGTGAACAAGACTTACTTCAGCAGTGAGAGGACTGACACAGTGACTGTAATAACAGGCTCAGGTAAGCAGCGTTGAGGGCACAGGATAAATGACTCAGCGGGACCTAACAATAGTAAAAGTGATCTCTGGTGCATGGGGAGTTGGCACTGCTAATTCTAAGACCACATCCCTGATGGTTTGAATCCATCAGCCACTAAATTGGAGAAAGATGAGCAATCTCTTGATTTATACCCTCAGAAACCCAGTGGAGCATCGGCTATGAGCTAGTTTACAGCAATGAGCCTGAGTAACTGTTTTGAATATATTGAGTCTGTGACATCCGGAGCCCTTTGAATATCCCCAGTTTCAAAACACATGCAGCCATTTTCCCCACAACAAAATGCTCAACATTTAGCTGGTTAGAATCCCATTCTGTGAGATTGCTTGCTTGCACACGTTATGAGCAGCCCAGAATATGAAACACTTGTATTTAATGCTGAAGACATTTAGGATTGCTTCAAAATTAGCAAAACTATAAATGATAAATGAATGGATACCAAGTCTTTGTGGGAGTGGTATGTGCCATTGAGTCGGCTCTGACTCATAGCAACCCCATGAACACTGGCTCTGAACCTTCACTAATGATGAGCCAACCTCACTGTTTTCCAACACAACTGACCCTATTGCCACCTCTCTTAGCTAATCCTCCACCCTTAACAGCACGTCCTCCAAGGTCTAGCTCCTCCTGGCAACATGCCCAAAGTATGTGAAATGATGTTTCACCATCCTTGGAGCAGCCTGCTTTCACTCTCACCAGGACAGACCCTTTTCACTTGGTTGTCCATGGGATGTCTCCAGCACTACAACTCAAAGGCACTGATGATTCTTCTGTTACCTTTCATCACAGTCCAGCTTGGCTCTGGCAAATAGTCTTTACACTGACAATGCTCTTTAGCCCTCTGGAGAGGTCCTCAGACAGCAGATTTTCCCAAACAACTCTTGATTTTCTGACTGCTGTTTCCAAGGGCGTTGATTGTGGATTTGAGCAAGATAATTTCATCCTTTCTAATCTATCAAGATGCTGCCTGTTTGTAATGGTGGCGAGGATTTTTGTTTTCTTGATGTTGACATGCAATCCATATTGTGGTGGCAGTCCTTGATCTGCAGCAAATGCTTCAAGTGCTTATGTTCGGCAAGCAACATAATGTCGTCTGCATGACACAGACTGTTGACTCTTCTAATCTTGATACCACATTCTTTTCATAAAGCCCAACTTCTCAAATTATCTGATCTGTTCAGAATATAGATTGAAAAGGTATGGAGAAAGGACACATCTTGATTTTGAACTCAGGGTTCCCATGCTCTCTTCGGACAAACAGTTTCTTGGTAAGGGAGCACCAATGGCTTAGTGAGAGTTGGGCTACCAGCCTAAAAGCATACAGCTCAAATCCACGGTCTGCTACTTAGGAGAAAGATGGGAATCTACTCACTTGCAATTTACTGCCTCTGAAAACCTGCTGGAGAGTCAGCTATGAGCTGGTTCTGACTTGATGGTACCTAACAATCTGAAGGGGAAACCCACCAGTTTGTTGATTTTGCCGACTGACACTTTACAAGATACTTAGTAGAAAACTATGCTTGTATTTATAAAAGTGGTAACAATTCAATTAGAGGGAGCTCTGGTAGCTTACTGGTAAAGAGTGGCGCTGGCACCCAAAGACATGCAGTTCAAATCCACCAGCTGCTCCATAGGATAAAGATGGGCAATTTGATTTACTGCCTCTGAAAGCCCACTTAGAGGGCCTGCTATGAGTCTAATCCAATTTAATGATAGGTAACAACCAGGACAATGAGTAATAGATAATATAAAAGTCAAAGTAAGTTTGTTTTTTCTTAAAAAGTTGATGTAGTGTCTCCAAACTGGAAACAACCCATAAACCATTAACAAAAGAATTGAAAAACTTGGTATAGTCATACCACAAACTATTGCTCAGAAATGAGAAAAGAACACTTTTTAAGAGTATGTCTCATAGGTATATGGAGCAAAAAGTGAACATAATAGCATACATACATACTGCATGATTTCACATCTATAAAATAAATGGAAAACAAATCAGAACAAGGTTGTCTCTTAGAAGATAGCAGGATGAGTAGGAAGGGCAGAAAGGAGCATGCTGCAAGGACAGAAATCTGTATTTTCATGTTACGTGGTGTTGAGTCAGAATCGACTCATAACTGACACTGCATGTGCAGAGGCTGTAAATCAGATGAGAGGAGAGTGTACAACTTTCTCTCTTAGCATGCCTGGTACACTTGAACCATGTGTCTTTGGGTTGACACCTCAACCAAATCCTTACCACACCACTGGGCCACCAGAGCGCGCTCCCCCTGATAATTATTGTAGAAGTGCTTAACTCATGTGTTTTGTCTTGTGTTGTGTGTATGTGTGTGTGTACACTGTCAAATTAGATCCGACTCATACAGGAAGAGATTCTCCCTCCTTCTCCAGGAAAGCATCTGGTGGGATTCAAACCGCATACCTCTGGGACTGCAGTGCAGCTTCTTGCCACTAGGCTACCAGAGCTCCCCTGTGCTTTTTCTTTCTTAAAACATCAAATTGGTGGGAGCTCTGGTGGTCTGCTGGCAAGAAACTGCACTGCAATCCCAGAGGTACACAGTTCGCATCCATCAGATGCTCTGCTGGAGAAGGAAGGCAATCTCCTCTTGTACCAGTCACATCCAGTTTGATGTACACACAAATGAAAAACAAAACAAACATAAAATTGACTACATTTCACTCAATGCAAATTATTCCTTATTAGATGGGATAATAAGTTGTTTTTTTAACTTGGTTTCTTGAAAGAAATGTGTGGCAAAAGAAAGTTCTTCATGCCTAATGAAAACTAAAGGACACTGTTTAGAGGATCTCATAAGGACTCCCAATAGCAATCTAAAGGAAGCATTAAGTGTTCAAGAGATTTAGAAATCTAAACACCATTATTTTCAAGATAGGACTGCAGCCTTCTATATGGATTGAGGCTTAATAGCAAGAAGACAAAGATTCTTACCACTGGACCAATTGGCAGCATCAGGATGGATGGTGAGGAGATCAAGACTGTTAACAGCTTTAGTTTGGTTGGCTCCACAGTCAACACTCTTGGAACCAGCAGCCAGGAAATTAAAAGACATATTGTGATGGGCAAGCCTGCTGTTAAGAGACCTCTCCAAAGTACTGAAGAGCAATGATGTCAATCTGGAGATTAAGGTGCATCTGATACAAGCCATGGTCTTTGGAGGATAGAAAGAGAATTAATGCCTTTGAGCTGTAGTGCTGGAGAAGAGTATTGAATATACTACAGACTGCTAAAAGAATGAACAGGTTCATCCTGGAGAGGGTTAAACCAGGCGGCTCTTTGGAGGCAAGAATTCTGAAGCTTCATCTGACATACTTTGGAAATGTTGCAAGGAGGGACCAGTCCTTGGAGAGGGATGTCATGCTTAGGAGGGGGGAGGGACAGCAGAGGAAAAGACGACCTTCTATGAGATAAATTGATTCAGTGACTGGGGAAATGGGCATAGGGGTGTCAGAGACAGGAAGATTAGCAAAGGATATAGCAGGGTTTAGGGCTATTGTACACAGAGTTGCTATGAGTTATAGGCAACTCAATGGCATATAACACCACCACCATGTTGTGAAATGCACTGAGTTTCCTCTAACTCATAATGGCCTTCTGTTGAACAGAACAAAACTCTACTCAATCCTGAGCCATCCTCACTCTTCATATTTACCATACATGGTAAATATCCAGCTATACCATAGGACACATTTAATCATAAAATTAGTATCCTTTTGGTAGGGCCAAACACTGCATTAAAACCCTCTGTAAAAGAGGTAGGAAATACCACTGACAGCAGTGAAGCATGGAAATCCTGTGAATATACAGTAATAGAGGGCAGACTAAAATAATTTATTAAATATATCATCCATGTCCCAAGCATTGAGGACTCTCCTTCACAGGTTCGCTATGAGCTGCTTGCGACTAGACGGCACTTAACATGAACATCAACATAGAAATCAGCTGGCCCAGTGGACAGAAAGCGATGCTACCAAGCCAACGGTGGGTGACTTTTAATCCGCACCCCTCGGCCCTGTCTTTCATTGTTTTGTTCAAACATTACTCTAGCTTGTATAAACCTGGTGTGTCCACTTGCCCTACAGCGGTCGCTTGTGCTAGCTGTGAGGCTGAACACTGTGACAATGACGTGTCAACTGCATTAATGGCTGGTTACCCAATGCGGACAGTGTGGGCTGGAGCTCCCCAATTAAAACAAGCTTGGAAGGAAGAGTGGCATCCACTTCCATAATAGTTTGCCTCCAGGAACCCTATGAACCTGGAGGGAGGATGAAGGACACACAAGTGTTGAGGACTCTCCTTACCACATTTAACAACAACAACAACAACATCATCCATGTTGTTGTTATGTGCCGTCAAGTTGCCTGCAACCCATAGCAACCCTGTGTACAGGAGCACTGAAGCGTGCCCTGTCCTGAGCCAGTCTTACTAATTCTGACACACCAACCCCCACAGCCCCAGTTACTGTAAAAGTCCATGTCATCTGGGGTCTTTCTCTCCTGCACCGTCCCTCCACTCTTCCAAGCATGATGTCCTTCTCCAAGGACCGATCCCTCCTGGCCACATGCCCAAAGTATGTGAGACAGAGCTTCAAAGTCCTACCCTCCAGGGAGAAACTTGGTTTCAGTCTCTCCCAGACAGAAATATTTGTTTTCCTGGTGGTCCATGGTATGTTCAAGACTCCTCCAGCACCACAATTTGAAGGCAATGATTCTTCTTCTGTCATCCTTAGTCACAGTCCAGCTCTCTGATGCATAGCAAGTTATTGCAAAGGCCATGCATGTCCTGGATCAGGCACATTTAGTCTCTCGACAACATTGTTGTTTTTCAATACTCTGGAGAGGTCCCTCACAGCACATTTACCTAATTCAGTTCATCTTTTGATTTACTGATTGCTGGTGCCAAGAGTGCTGACTGTGGAACTGAGCAAGCCGTAACTGTTAACAACCTCAGTCTCTTCTACACCTATCATGGTGATAGATTAAATAAATGTATACATTAAAAATTATGCTTTAAAACACTTATTAGGTGCTGTAGAGTCAAGTATGATTCACAGTGATCCTTTGAACAAAAGATCTGATCCTTGTTCTATCCTGCACCATCATCTCACTTCCTGACACAAGAGCCCACTGCAGCAGTCACCATGTCAATCCAGTTGACTGAGGGTCCTCCTTTCCTTCACTGACCCTCCACTTTTTCCAGCATCATGTCCACCTTTTCCAGCATCATGTCCCTCTCCAAGGAACAGTCTCACCTAGCAACATGCCCAAAGATGTGAGGCCAAGTTATAAAACACTACTGAGATAAATATTCGGGATCCAGTGTAAAAGAATTCAAAACCAAGAGTGTTTTGTTTGAAATATACAACAGTGCTACTACACTCCAGGATAATATGAATCCAGATAGGCTACAACAAGCTCGTCTCCCTAGCTCCTCTCTTCATTCCATCAATCTTTCAGGCACATGAGCTCTCACTTTATGCAAATTAATTATTTGGACACCTCTTTTTCACATTGCAGTACGATTTTATCCCCAAGAAAGGCAACAACTTTTAAAGCATATACACTAGGATATTAATAATGATTATTTCTGGATGGCAAGATGTTATATCACACAAATTTTCTTAAATTTTTTCACAACAATCCTGAATTACCTATGTAATCACAAAAAAGAAAATTTACAAAAAGCTTAAGCGATGTCATCTACTGAAGAGATTATGTGCTTCATTAGAAAAGGTCACTGTGCTCACCTGACAAAACTATCCACATAGGGCATTGCGAAGAATCGTTTCCGATTGTATCTTTTATTCAGGTACCAGGGTATAGGCCACGGCTTAAACTTGTGCCTGTCAGGAAGCAAAATGTTATCACCTTACAGAAAACAATTCAGACATTTTCACTTTACATCAACAGTTTCGACGTTCTATGGATTAAATATGCTTTTTAAAAAAAAAGTAATTGGCTTCTGATAGATCTTTACAAGTATCCTAGTCCTAAATTAGGAATACTGTATACTTAGCAAAAAGTATAGAAAATATAGTAAATACTCAAAAAAATCCCATCACAAAACTATCAAATATTCTTATCAACAGAAAAAAATTTAGATGTAACATAGCAGCAGCTATGGATTTGAAGACTACCATATGTATTTTAGCATACAATATGGAATAAGTAAAAAAGGCTCACTACTTTTTTTAGCTCTGGAAAAGTTAAAAAACAAAATCAATATAATATATTGATCAGATGTAATTAATGTAAAAATGTGTTAACTGATTAAATGAACCTGTATATAAAACAAAACACAAAAAAAATTAAGAAAACCTTGGAAGAGATTACCACTCTTAGAAACTTTCTAACAGTTATAGATTCTCCCCTCTACCTCCACCTTTCCCCATTTGGCCTCAACCAGATGAATACAAAGAAAAATTATAAAAATGAAACAGGTAAGAATTTTTAGTGAAATATTTTGTCAGTTTTTCCATAGTGAATTGAGAGTTAGAAAAAGAGTTTCTCCCCTACCTGGATCCAAACAGTCCCATTATCACAAATTCCATTAAAAGATTATCAAATGAGTAGGCTGCCATAGGAGCTGAGTGAGAAGGAATTGGACTGAAAACCCAAAGGCACACAGTTCAAATACACCAACAGATCCAGGGGAGAAAGATGGGCAATCAACTCCTGTGAGAATGACTGCCTCTGAGATCCTGCTAAGGGTCAGCTATGAGTCAGTCCAGGGTCATGGTACACAACAGCAAATAACAGGCTCCACTATATGAGGTTGCTATTAAGTGATGCAATTTCAAGGGTTTCCCCAAAATTACTTCCTCATTTTGCAATTTAAGATTTTATAATTTAAAATCTTAAAATTTCATAATACTTCATTTTAACTGTAAATAATCCCTCAAGAGAGAAACTACATCATCAGATCTTTACCCAATGTCAGAGAAGACTATGGAAACTTTATGGGGAAATTACAGGGTTAAAGAGTTTGGTAGGTGGAGTGAGGGAGTGAAAAAAAAAACACACCAATGTACATGAATGAAACACAATTTTTTAAAAAGTAGGATGATCTAATAGGCTGGAAAGTAAAATGATCTCTCATATTTTGGCTGGGAACTCTGCTGAAGGCAAAAGGAGCAAGCGGAGACTGAATCACAAGTCTTATTTCTGTAAACTATCTTTTATAATAGTCCCAAGTTCTTAATAGGCAAGGAGTGTACAATGTGTGTCCTAAAATTAACTATACAGAAATAGATAACCCTTTATAGTTAAATGTGTGTATGTACATTTTCCTGGGTAAAGGACCTACAACTTTTATTAAGTTCTCAAATGGTTATATGATTCATACAAGATTTATGTAAAAGAAACACTGTTAAAACAAACTTAAACCTAAGTGAAGTAGGGGATTGCATAATCTGGGCTGGTATTAGTTTAACTACATAAGACTACTCTCATTTATAACTTTCATTTCAAAGAGGTTTGAGATGTCTGCTTATTATTACATCTATCTACTATGCTGAGTTTTCTTAAGTTACTGGGCAGAGAAATGAGAGTTCTACTATTCTAAGAGCCACAATGAAATCTACCAGATGATTCTTCCAAAAATGTCTCTTCTCCAAGCACCGGGTCTAGCTTTTTCTTGGCCAGTCTGAAGAAGCCTTAGAGCATCTTCTCTTTCCTGGACAACTTTATCTAATGCATCCATGGAATCTACTACCTGTGAAGATAAAGATGTCATTTTGAAAATTAAGTACAACAAAATTCAAGAAAAAGAGAACACAAAAAGACATATGTTACAGAAAATTTAGGGGGTTTATTTGGTCAAAGAATCATCTGGACAAGTATCTACTGAAAAGCTTCTTTTGGCACAGGTATACACACACACAGCTATCTGTAATACCACTTTCAGCAATTAAAAAAAGTTTACAGTTTCATTTAAATGAAAATCAACTCCATTCAGGATTTATGTATTAGTTTTGAATGAAATGAGATATAAATATTTCTTCTAAAGACCCAAATTGAATGGTTTTATTTCAAGAAGCATTACTACCTGAACTACATTAAAAACCATGTTTTGGCTGCAATAAGCCAGTAGGTATTTAACATGCAGACACAGATACCTTAGCCTGCTTGGTAGATGCTGGTACTACAGAGACAAAGGTATCAGTTCACGGGACTATGGTGGTCTTCAAAGTTCCATCAAGATGCAAGATTAGATCTTCTATTCACTTTCATTTCCCTCTATAGATTTCAATAGTGTGTTTACTTTACAACAAACATAATATATAGGTACAATGACATAGATATGTACATGTCAATATATGCATGTTCATATAATGGAGGTCATAATAACATCAAGCTAAACTCCTAGTTGGGGCAATAGAGTTGCACTCCTAACCAAAGCAGGTGGTTCAAATCCACCAGCTGCTCCACTGGAAAAAGATGGGCAATCTTTTCCCGTGTGATTAACATACGGTCTTTGAAAACCAACAGGAGGGTCTGCTATGAGTCAGCTTGACAAGACAGCAATGATTCTTTGCTAAGAAACTCTGAGAGCCATTTTTAGATGGGTGGATACGTGTGAACCACCAAGATTACTGCTTGGAAAACAATATGAACCAGTCTAATCAGTCCTATAAGGTGAGTTATGAGTCAGAATCAATTAGGTAGGAGTCATGTAAAAACTGGGTTTTGGTTGGTCATTATATTCTGTTATACTTAAACACTGTTTCTCATAAGAATAATCAACATAACTGAGGAAACTTCCTAATCTGGTATCTTGAAAAATCTTTAATCCTGATGAAGTTATCTATAAATAAGCAGTATTTATCAATGCACAATAAATTCTGCCCTTAAACATTTTGCTCTTTAAAAAAAAATTATCTATCTGCATCAAATTGATAAGAGTGATTATAAAGAACAAATGAGAACTCTTAAGGGGCATAGAGAGTAAAAGTTAACAGTAAAAACAATACAGAAATGAGACCAAGGGCACACTGTCAAGAACGTAACCTATGGCGATGATGTGCACATGCAGAAACTGCTAAATGGATATTATGGTTTGTTGTGTATATTGTCTGTCACCAAAAAAAAGAAAACACATACACTCTCTCTTTCTAAATAAGATGAGAGCAGATCATAAAAAGAATCTCGTTGAAATGCAAAGGATTTTAATCCATTACCCCATAAACTATTTATCTGGCCATGTTCTGCACTTCTGTCACCCCTGACTTCACTCAGGGCCTTGTAGTACCTGAGTTCACTGGACTCTCTCACACCTGTATGAATTTCTACAAAATCTTTGATAAATAAAACATGAGGAAAAATGACAAATCCTATCTTTAAAATAGAGAAAAACTTTTTTTAAACTTTTGAATACACTTAAAAGATTAAGACTTACTTAATCCTCAAGAGCAAAAATAGCATATGGTACCTGAAAATCTGATGTTGTGTAGCAATGAGTATGTTTATGGCCGAATTCTTGTTCTTGTTGTTGTTAGGAGCTATCAGGCTGACCCCAACCCTGTAAATCACAGATCTGAACCTGTATATCACATGATCTCTGGTACGTTTGAACCCACTATTACAATCATTGTGTCAGTTGTGATACATGCTCAGGATCCTGTTGAGTCTTCCTCTTGCTCTGACCCTCCACTTTTCCCAGCATGGTATCTTTCCCAAGGACTGGGCCCTCTTGACAATATGCCATTCTCCCTTAAAATAAAGCCAGATTGCTCTGTAAAATGCCCAATTCCCAATTCCAGGGAGGGGAAACTATCTGATGAGCCTGCAACATCTTACTGTGTCTCACCAGAGAATTATGAGCATGCCAAGGATCTGAAGAAAGAAATAAAGGAATGAATAAAAAGGAAAATATCTACCTTACAGAAGAAAAGTCATCTAATAAATGTAGAAAGAATGACAAAATTAGAAAATCAGCACTTGGTAAACATTATAATAATACCTGGTTCATGCTAGAGCCATTAATGGATCCTAAGACTAGTGGGTGAAAACTGAAGGAGTTACAGGATAGTTGTACATTGGAAAAAAAAAGTCCTCACAAAATATTTCCTTAGATACAATGGGGAAATAGGAGAAATCCGACAAATACCACCTTAACCAAGTTAGCATCATCAGACACAGAACAAATCACAATCCCATGCACCACAGCATTTACTTCTGTGATGTTCCTGCTAATCTCATCATGAAACACATCAGACAAGGCCAAACAGAGGGAGAAAAACTGTGCAAAATAGTCTTCAAAAATGTCAATGTTTCTTGACATGTAGCACACATTCGTGTACGCACACACACAGATTAAAGGAGACAAAAGAGATATGGCAACTGCATGCAATTTTAGACCCAAAGACTTAGCAAGAAATTACTGGATCTAACTGATCATTTTGGAAAAGTGTACAACATAAAAAAAAAAACACCAGTCAGATTCCTCTATAGTAACAAAGAAAACACTGAAAAGGAAATGTGGAAAGCAAGGAAATTTTTAATAGCCACTCAAAAGATTAAATATTTAGGAATGTATCTAACCAGAGTTAGAAAATATTTATACAAGGAAAACATACAAAAAACTACAAGAAACACAAACAGAACTATATAAATGGGGGGAATACCACGTTCATTAACACTGTGAAAATGGTAATACCATCAAAAGCAATCTACAAATACAGTACCATCTGGATCCAGATTTCATCCTCAGTTTTCAGAGATGGAAAGTAAGAGACTCCAAATAAACAAAGTGATACTGAAGAAGAAAAAAGTAGGTCTTACACTTCCTGATCTCAAAAGCTACTATACAGCCACAGTAATCAAAGAGCTTGGTATTGGTACAACAGGTACACAGACCAAGGGAACAGAATTAAGAATCTAGAAATAAATCCATTCACCTATGCAGAACTCATCTTTAACAATGGGATAATATACATTAAGTGAGGGAAAGATGGCATCTTTAACAAATGGAACCAGTAAACTTGAAGCTCAACATCAAGAAGACAATGATTCTCACCACTGGGCAAACTGGTAGCACCATGAAAGATGGAAAAGAGACTGAGGTTTTTAAAAATTACAGCTTGCTTGTTTCCACAATCAACATTCTTGGCATGAGCAGTGAGGAAATCAAAAGAGGAACTGCATCAGGTAAATCTGTCAGGGACCTCCTCTCCAGAATACTGACAAGCAACAATGTTGGTCAGAGAGCTAGACAATGATTAATGATGACAGAAAAAGAATGAATGCCTTTGAATTGCAGTGTTGGAGAAAAGTCTTGAACATACCATGGTCTGCCAAGTTAAAACAAGTTAAGTCTGTCTTGGAGAGGCTGAAACTAAGTTTCTCCTTGTTGACTAGGATTCTGAAACTCTATCTCACATACTTTGGGCCCATGGGCAGGAGGAACCTGTCCTTGGAGGACAAATCTAGAACAAATTATACTAAATGAGAAATAAGTCAGTCACAAAAAGACAATTATGGTACAAGGCTACTAATGTAAAATGCTAAGGAAAGATTTACACATAGAATAATTCTTAAATAAGTACTAAAAAAGGAGAAGGGGGAGAGATCCAAGATGGCGGCAGAGGCAGAGACAGTGTGGTGAGCTGCGGGAGCAGCGAACCACTTAAAGCAGGGCCATTATGGCCTTCCACAGATTTCAGCTTATTGATAATTGAACACTTAAACAGTTGATGACTGGCCCTCAGTGAAGATCGAGGCTCAACAACAGGAATTCAAGGATTCCCAAGGAGAAATGGGTGTCTCATGGCTCCCAACGCCCCACCCCCGGCAGACCCTTGCCTCGCCGCACAGCCGCTACAGCTCCATGAGGCTTCCACAGCCAGAACCAATGGATTCCCTCACCCAGGATGGATGCTGGGCACCGGCCCTCCTCAAGACTGGTACAGTGAAGCCACCACACTGCCGCAAGGTGGACTTGGTCTGGAGAGAATTCTTGGAGCCAGGATGGCAGTTGTGGGGGAAGCGAGCGCCCGCCGGCTGCCCGCACAAGAGGGGCCGCACACCAGCAGAGTGCCTGTGCGGCAGGGTGGGAGGGGCGCGCCTCCAATG